GTGTGTGTGTGTGTGTGTGTGTGTGTGTGTGTGTGTGTGTGTGTGCCTGAATTAGGTTTCTGTGGACGTGTGTGAACACACACACTCATTTTTTTATGCAGCTCTGGTTCTCGAACCCTCTGTGAGTTCAGCGGGTTAATGATTGAGRACACTTGTCTGCCCAACTGTCTAGGTTCAGTTCACCGAGGTTCATCAAACTGGGGGTTGTGTTTTTGGTGATGCTACCTTTGTTTTGATGTTTTGACTGTAGGGGGCGACAGCAAGTGTCTGAGCAGCTGATTTAGGTTTTTACAGTTTGGTCTACCAGGCCAGCAAGCCGCCCACAAGTCACTGCAGAGGTCAAACGGCTTGACCCCAAAATGAGTTGGCCCCTTCACAGCGTGCTCTGTTATATACTGTTTAGTTAAAATGTGATACAAATTCAACAACACTGTGCCTCTCATTTATGAGTGCAGCAACAACCTGAGCTGATCTCTGCTCAGCCTTCTCTTTGTTTCAAATTGCTACAACTAAGAAGTATCCACATGGGGTTTCAATAAAAAACAGTGTCTCACTGTACTGTAATTAGCAAGAAGAGCTGCTCCTTCCATGGTTTCATATGTTTCTGTTTCACCTGCTGGAAACATGAGGTTCAGCGCCGAGTGAGTCCAGGAAAATGTAAGCCCGTTCCACGAATGTGGACCAAACGGGAGATGTTTTTTTTTTGTGTCTTCATCTGTGTGTGTGGAGTGAAGTGGGTGTCCTGAGTGAGGGTCATGTGAACGATTCGAGCGCGTTTGAGGTGAAACTCGTGCAAGCCGAGGAATTTAAGAGGAATGCAGAGGGAAGAAAAAGACGATGCTTTTGCAGGAAATACGAGGGGCAACGGAATGACCCCAGAGTTTGGTGAAAATGGACGATTTTGTTGAGCTTTCAGAAAATGGGAGGAAATATGAGGAAACTTTGAGCAAAATGAGGTGTATTTTAGCTTTTTTTTTTAATTTAACACTAGTCACTGCTGCAGACTGTGATGTGGCAAAAAGTGCTGCAAATGCATCACGGTTAAAACACACAGATCCCCTGCAGAGGTGGGAACAATCTGGATACTTTAAAACCACAGATAAAATAGATTTCACAGGCCTTCATAGTCTGGTACAGACTTTAGTTCAGTGTTGATGTAACAAAAGAAATGAAGTGTTTTAAGTGTTTAGGGTTGGTGAACAGGAGCCTGTATGGTTGTGGGAGGGAGAGGGATGAGTCGACTGCATTTGATTTTAATTCTATAGAAAGATGACAGATCAATCAGTATTCAAATCACTGTTTTAATTGTTCTGACAAAAATAGAAAATGGTTTAAAAAAGTCTCAAACGATAAAATATTTTCTTGTGTGAGAGAGAAAACATTTCAAGAAGTTGTACCATTGATTTGGAGAAAATAAACTGAGGTCATTTTATTTCAGTAGCACATTTCAAAATGTGTTCAGCGTCCATGTTTACCACCCTGAATGACCCCTTCTTCTTTATTAACATTCTGTAAACATCTACTCAACTGTTAGTGTTTAACAAGTGAAAAACAATAAACTTTCATTGGTTTTGTGTTTTGGGTCATGAGCACACAGTAAGTCCCTGAATACCTCAGAATTCATCCTATTGCTTCTGTCTTGGGTCACATCATCAATAACCACTAGTGACTCAGTGCCACAGGCAGTCATGCATGCCCAAACCATCACACTGCCTCCGCCGTGTTTTACAGATGATGTGCTTTGGATCATGAGCTGTACATTGCCTTCACCATACTTTTTTCTTTTCATACTGGTAGAGGTTGATCTTGGTTTAATTTGTCCAAAGAATGTTCTAGATGGTTTTTTTTTAGCAAAGTCCTATCTAGCCTTGTTATTCTTGAGATTCATGAGAGTCTTGCAGTGTGCAGTGAACCCTGTATTTATTTTCATGCAGTCTTCTCTTTTTGGTCGATTTGAATAATGATATACCTCCCTCCTGGACAGTGTTGTTCACTTGGTTGGTTGTTGTGAAGGGGTTTCTCTGCATGATAGAAATTATTCTGCCATCATCCACCCTTGTCGTCTTACGACATCTGGTTCTGGCTTCCAGTTTTTTTTTCATTAAGGAGTTCACTGGTGCTTTCTTTCTTTCCCAGAATTTACCAACCTGTAGATTATTTTTTGTTGTTTTTTCTGTTTTTGCAGCTTATGGATGGCTTATTTCACCTGCATGGAGAGCTCCTTTGGCTGCATGTTTTACTCACAGCAAAAAAAAAAAAAAATCTAATTTCAAGCACTACGCCCCCAATCAACTCCAGGCCTTTTATCCGTTTATCTAAGGAATTTCCCACACCTGTCCATGAAATAGCCTTTGAGTGAATTGTCCAATTACTTTTGATCCCTTTAAAAGCAGGGTGGGCACATGGTAAGGATCTGAACTCCAAAACCCTTCATCCAATTATAATATATAAACCCTCAAATGAAAGCTGAAAGTCTGGACTTTATGATTAAATTCATTATATAACTATAACTTGAATAAATTTCAATAAAATGGTAAATAAAATACAACAACTTTGTGTCAATGTCCAAATAGATATGGACCTAACTGTTTCAAATTAGTTTTATGTTTATTTGAAAAAAGGACCAGGAGAAAAAAAGGTGATTAATCCAGACAAACTGGTGATATGACCTTTCCTCTTTTATCCACAATTTCCTCCCAAGCTGTTGTACTCGTTTTCTCCTTTCACTCCTCGTTGTTCTTTTTTTAAAAGTAATTTTAAGCAGTTATGAGGCACTGTGGCGAAAAATTAAACTTCTGCACATATTTTTTAACAGGTTGTTGCTAAAGCTTACCAAAGAGTGAGTTAGTTGATGCCACTGACCTTGCTTAGCTGGCCCATGAGAGGTCGGGCAGCTAAAGCCTTATTCCCCAGAATAGCATGCAGTTCTGGATGAGAGCTTAGTGAAATTATCAGCAATCTATTGGACACGTTTTCCACTGATATTGATCATGTCTCTATCACAATATAAACTGTTATTGAATTGCTGCCCAGCCCTGCTCTAATTGATGCAGTATGAGGTTTATTGTCTTGCTGAAATAAACAAGGCTTTCCCTGAAGAAAGTCATCATTGGGATAGGAGCATGCTTTTCTAAAACCTGTAGATACAGGGGTTGAACAATGAAATTGAAACACTTGTCATTTTAGTGTGGAAGATTTCATGGCTAAATTGGACCAGCCTGGTGGCCAGTCTTCATTAATTGCACATTGCACCAGTAAGAGCAGAGTGTGAAGGTTCAGTTAGTAGGGTAAGAGCACWGTTTTGCTCAAAACAAAATATTGCAATGCACACAACATTATGGGTGACACACCAGAGTTCAAAAGAGGACAAATTGTTGGTGCACGTCTTGCTGGTGCATCTGTGACCAAGACAGCAAGTCTTTGTGATGTATCAAGAGCCACAGTATCCAGGGTAATGTCAGCATAGCTCCAAGAAGGACGAACCACATCCAACAGGATTAACTGTGGACGCAAGAGGAAGCTGTCTGAAATGGATGTTCTGGTCTAAAACCAGGTGTTTCACTTTCATTGTCAATCCCTGAATGTTTCTGCATTGATGGTGCCTTTCCAAATATGTAAGCTGTGTATAATTAAGGCACTAATGCACCTCCATACCAACAGAGGCGCGAGCGATTGAACTGTTGTTCCTTTAGTACGGAGGACGTGATGTACATTCTTCACAAAAACAGTTTCCATCTGACTATGGAACAGGTTTTTTTCACTTTGCTTCAGCTCTTATTAACTTTCGGTTTTGTCCTGTGAGCACAGAGATTTCCCCAGATTCTTAAAGTCTTTTGATGATTTTATGAACTGCAGATGGTATTTAAAGTCATCACAACCTGAAGACCTGCTGAAGAGCAAGAAACACATGTGGGACAGAGGCCCACAAGAACCAGGATTAGGCACCACTGATCTAATTTATTGTAAAATCCTCCTCCAGCTGTTTTTAAACACCACCACCAAGTTTTACAGATTTGTTGATGTTGTCCGCGTCCCAGCTTTACTGCCATTTTTTTTTACTTTAAACAGATGATTTCTTTACTATGTTCCATTGGGAATAAAATGATGTCCCATTCCTTTTTGGAATTGTGCATAAATTCTAAAAACAATAATTTAAACAGTGCACAAAAATGGGAAACTTTCTGCAGTCTCGTGTCCTTCTACGCAGCTGCCTTCATGAAAGTAACGACACCTGAATCGTTCTCTCATGCTTGTAAAGTCTGAAATTTCCAGATCTGGTCAGTGTGAGATAAAAACAAGACCTCACCAACTTTTATTGGTCTCTATGTAAACCAATAACGGAACAGGCAACAACAGACACCCTTTTGATTTGATATAAACACTGTCTAGATCTTTTATTCTTTCAGGAACTAATTTATTTTCAGTAATAAAATGGTCTTAAAAACAAACAAATAATAGTCATTGAGCTTGTAGGAGAATGCCATTAATTTCCCAATTGAATTGTTGGCATCAGTAGTTAACCTTGTAAATGCAGCAAAGTTTGCATCTTTCTATATAACTCCTGCATTGCAGTGTTTTTAATTTTAGTCATAGGTTGCAGCAGGAATTGGATTTAAATTGTCAGAGCATTCATTGAAGGAAGGAATCAATGTCGCTTGAAACCTTGCCAAAGTTTAAATTAAAGATGTTGCACAATGTGTTACTCTCAGCTATTACCACAATTTTAGCTCAATATCTGGAAAATGACTGGGTTATAGCCAGTTTTGTGCATGCTAAGGTCAGTTAGCTGTGGCAGCCATCTTGAATTGAGTTGAGTCCAAAAGGTCATCTGTTGTTGATGAGTGTCTTTAAAATCCATTGAGTGGTTTGTGAGATATTTTGCTAACAAACACAAGCACATTCATAGACATATACAAGACCTTCAACTTTTCATGGCAGTGGGTCATGATTAAGGTCTTTATTATTGATGGAAACCAATACTTYATTGGCACATTAGGATCAAATTTATCTATAACTTAATTTTGACAACATTTTGTCTCCCTCTGTGTCTTTTCCTACATTTAACTCAGAACAGAGAAGATTCATCCTTGCCACTAAAACCTTAATATCTATTTTTGTTGCCGCCGAGGCTAAGCTCTGTCTGAGTCTTCCCTAATCTCTGGGTCTTCAAGGCTGCAGCCATTTTAAACTTCACCCACATGTCATCCTCCTCCAGCCACAGCACATCTTTATAAATCATCACACTCTACCTCCCTGCAATACTTGAACATACAGACTACAAGATGAGGAGTTTGGAAACTATCGGGAGGTTCAAAGGTTAGGCTCTGTCTGTCTGGGCAGACCGGTTCAGAAGATGGAGTTTTAAAATGAGAAGATAATTAAAGCATTCTTTGAAGGACAGCGTATTGATCGCTGCCTTTTTGCCTGTTGTACGTTAAAATCATCTAAATCTGAGAAGAAACTGTTTTGGTTGCTCAAAGTGTTGCGGTGCAGAGAAGGGGTCGCTACAGTCGCTAAGTGGTTCCTGGATTTTGGAGGATTGTCTGTTTTTGGAGGGGTTTGAAGAAGCCATCACAGTTGGATCTCCTCCCCAATCCCAAAAATTAAAATACAAAAAGATTTAAAGATGTTCTGTTTTAAATTAGTCAATAAATTATATTTACATGTTCCTATTAATTTTAGTAATTACATTATACACCAACAGCGTTACGCCGATTAGTCCTTTCTGTAAGTAAATTTAGTCAAACACATTTTTAACTTTTTACATGTGTCAGTCCAAGCAATCAAGGTTTTCCCAAAGTCTGCCCACATCCAAGAACCTCCCCTCCATTTACTGTAAGCTGCTCTATCCAGCTTAAACTTTAATTTTGGACAATGTAAGACAAGACAAGACAAGGCAAGATAATTTAGTATTTGTCTCCCATGGGAGAAATTTGTCTTAGAGAAGGGGACAAGGATGCAATACATCAAGGACAAAACAATACTTCTAACAAAATTGATAACAATAAAAATATTAAACTAGCACAAATGATTAAATAGACAAACATTGAATTTTGTTCATACGCACAGTGGTACATAATTACAATACAATTTAAGATCACAGTCTGATGTTCAGCCCTTTCTAATAAAACCATAATGTAAAGAGGAGGATGTAGAAATGACCGAAAAGATGGACAATAAAGCTCCTTTATGGAAGGAGAATCTCAGCTTTAGCCTTTTAGCTTTCACATGATCTCTCGAGCTAATAATATTAGGTAACACCACCAAAATGGCAATCACCCCCGAGCTAAATTACTAAAAATTCACTTTGATTGTTTCAAGTCATCAGAACATAGAAGCAAATGCAGTTTTGACATAATAAGATGTTGTTTATATTAGATTAGAAAATAAGGTATTAAGTCAAACATGTGAAAGTAGACTGAGATTCCTTTTAAGATTATGTGATTATGGTGAACATTTTGAATTTGTTGACTTGAACAGTCAATCAGTTGTAGATGAACAGCCAAATTTATTTATTCAGTTCTTGAAAAGTTTTATTATTATTATTATTATTTTCAAATCTATCAGCTGGTTCTTGAGGTAATTTGCTAACAGACAGACAAATGAGCACACTTCCTGGAAAAACAAAACATTATTGTCCTTTCATCTTCAGTGATAAAACAAAATATTCACACACAACGGTTTTCTAATAAACTAACACACAGTTGTTGTAAAGATGTGAACCAAAGCATGAGCTCACTAGCAGATCTGTAGATTCATTAGATGYGTGTTTATTTATTTATTTTTATGTTCATCTGCAGGTTTGAGGCAAGTCGAGAGCACATGTTTCCCATGGAGTTCTTCTTCCCTCCCCAGAGAACGTGTCTGATTTGCTCGGACGAGGCATCTGGCTGTCATTATGGTGCGCTCACATGTGGCAGCTGCAAGGTTTTCTTCAAAAGAGCTGCCGAAGGTAACTCACACCCCGCCTTTGAAACCTCCTCTCTCATTGGCTTAATGATGTCCGTTTTAGTTAGTTAAACCGTGTGTTTTATCCTCCCGTGCAGGAAAACAGAAATACCTGTGTGCGAGCAAAAACGACTGCACCATTGATAAGTTAAGAAGAAAGAACTGCCCCTCTTGCCGGCTGAAGAAGTGCTTTGAAGCTGGAATGACTCTTGGAGGTGGGGTGGTWACTCACATTTTGTTCGTCCATTTTTCTGTTCTGTCGAATATTTATTTATAAGTTGTTTTTTTACTTGAGACAGAAATATATAAGAACATTGATGCACCTTTTTTCCAGATTTAAAATTGTTACAAAAAAAACTACCATAGGTGAGAAAGCACCAACCTAATAAACACTGGTAGACAAAACATGACTGGTTTATCTGTCTGATCGAATCTTCAACCGACTGAGCACAAAGGTTTTGGGTATTTTTCCCATTGGCTACAGGACATGTCAGGGTACAGAGCACATTAAATAACATGTCTGCTTCACACAGCAACATAAATGCACCAGAATTAGCTTATTTGCTACATTTCATCCACTGTTATTTTTTTGGTGTAATGTAAAGTTCCAGTCAAAATAAACCCACTGTATAATTCCATAATCTGCTTATTTAACTCAAAAACAAAGCAATTCATTTTGGTGCTTCACTGACAACATTTATTGTGTTTTTGTAAACYAGAACAAATCTAAAAACTGATTCCAGCTGACTTATTCTTCTTAATCAGTGTTTTGCATCTTTTCTCATAATTACAGTGCAGGATGAGCAAACACTAGTTTTCCAAGAGTCATCTGGGTCCGTTCTTGTTGATGACATGATTTCAGCAGGTTGTGTTTGTGGTTGTTTGATGATCTTATTAAGGAGCCATTAATTAGCAGCAGAAGACAGACCAGGCTGGTGTTAGTCACGCAGAATGAGGTCTGATATCATCCTGCTGTGTAAACCATCACACATACTCAGACCACCAGGGCCATCGACTCCATTCTGTCGCACTCTGACTGTATATTTTAGCTGATCACAGTCTGGGTGGTGTTTCTTATCTTTAGCTCCTGGAAACCAAAGACTGACAGCAGGACACGTGTCGATTTGTCTTTCTTGTTGCATCATTGAGTTTCAAAAGACTTTTCTGGGACCAGTGGTGGATTACGTTGACTAATGATGTTTTTTAGACATTGAAGTTATAAATAAGGCCTGAAAGCTTGAAGGTCACAAACATCCAACAGTTGTTCCCAGCTTTAGATTTTATTCTTTGATTTTTTTTCTTTATTCTTCTCACAATAGTATTGTTTCACAAGTTAAGATCTGCATTCTTTGCAAGCTGGTACTAAAGAAAAACTTTATTAGAACTGACTGTTGTCTGACAAATCCTTGCTCAGATGTTGAGTGTTTGATAAAATCCATGCATCCTGTTGCTTCATCTGCCTTTTACTAACACTGAGGTTGACTCCTGGTTTCTAGTGTTACACCTGCACCACCTGGATCTTAGTTCAGAGGCATATGCCCCTTTTCTACTAGCACCTCTACAGCACGGTTCGACTTGGTTCTCCACGATTCCAAGGTTTTTCCATTATCAAAAATTTGTGGAACCAGTCCCTTTTTTAGAACGTACTTTGCTGTGGTTCCAACRAACCAGGTAAACAAAGTTCAGCCAAGTTGAATGGTGCTGAAGAGGCGCTTGTGGAAAAGGGTCAATAGAGGGACCGTGGGTAAAGTGTTCCACTGCAGAACAGGACAGATTTGTTTTAAAGAAGCAGATGTAACACCACTAAAGTAACTGGTTTTGCAGCCACAAACAGACAAACTTTCTGTCCTAGAGGTTACCTGTACAAAAGTCCACAAAACTGATCATTAATGCAACTTGAAACAAGCAGGTCACAAGCAGGGGAGTGCCTCCAGGACTTAGGAACAACAATAATACCAAATCAGAACATCAAGCCATTGCAATGTAATATATGTATATTACATATATATGAGAGTAGAGGGAGGATGTATAATTGGACTTGGTCTAAGACCACTCCATTTTATTCCCAACCCTGAMTCCCTCACCTGTCATCAAATGATCTCCTGATTATTGAAATCAGCGTTTATTTCTTTATCATGTGTAAACAGTTAAAGTTTACCAAAAAGCTTTTAAGTGTAGTCAAACAAAATATTAAAAATAGTCCCCCAAAAAGGAAATACGTAAAAATTAACTAAATAATGCCGTTTTGATCTACAGAATGTCTTTTATTCTCCTATTAATTATTTAAAAAAATTAACACCCTTAACTTGGTCAACAAAGATCTGAGAAATCCTTCCTTGTTTCTTTTCTTTGGTAATTTTTTTTCACATATCATWCTTTAGAACACAAGATTACTTTTATTAAAATCAGGTTTTTTCATTTGCACACAAATATTAAAAGCATACAGTATAATGCATCAAATGAGTGACCTGGTTTTAATGTTAAAATGGAGGTGGAAATCCAACGTAAGCATGTCTGTAACTTTACAGTGACTGAGATTTACAGAAAGGTGCCATGCATAGTAACAGATGTAAAAAAAAAAAAAGTAAAAAAATCTGGTGAAAATAATGAAAATGGTCCGTCTTTGTGCATGCTGACAAATATATTTTTGATTCTACAGAGTTTTACGCCTGTGGCTCAGTGTGTGCAGAGTTTGAATTTAATTATTTTCAAAGTGCAGTAAGGATGATAATAAATGGAGTGCACTAACAAAGCCCACTACGGAGCGAGGCAAAGTCCCAAAAAAGTGAAACTATTAATGGCTTTCCAACATCAAGTACTTTATTCTCTGCACTGCACATCTTAGCTGGTTCTCTTCAATTGCAGCATCATCACAATAGGGGATGTTACTGATAATCAAGCCCCTGACTGAGCTGCCATGCAATTTAGACCTCTTCCATTCACTCCTCCTTACTGTCACCCAGACCTGTTCGTCAAATTAGGCTGCAGAGATTGACATGTAGTGGACTAATTTTGGTCTTGTGTTCAATTTTCACTCTCTTCCATTTTCTCATTCTGTTAACGGTGAAAATTGTGCCGGAGGCACAAAGCTGACATGAGACATGTGAATTAAAGCGGCAGACATGCTGGTAATTTTTGCCACCAGTCACTGACAAACCCTGTGGAGGGAAAATGTGATCTAATGCTGTGATTGTAGTAAAAAGGCACCCCTTTTTCTAGTTGTGGCTAAAAAGATCCTTTCACTTATGTTCTCATCATGGACATATAATTGACTCGCGGCATTTCACAGGGAAATTTGTGGCAGTGAATTGTGGAAGTGGGAGCAGAAAAATTGCATGTGATCGTATTACTTTGACGTTTTTCACTTTGGATACTTATTAGGGAAAGGAGAGTTCTAATTTGACTGTAGTTAGAATAAAATATTAGAAAATTACAARTCTATTAGATTCAGTAGTTTATAAACCATATCCATGTGATCRTATCAATATAAAGCTGTTGTTTGCTTCCCTTGTGATTTCAAAAGTCTTGAGAAAGGAGCATATTGGCTTATGTTTAGGACGTAAGCAACATTTATATTACTGCTCAGAGGAATAGCTTTTATAAATTGAACTTTGTGTTATTTCTGGAATTTTAATTGCTCTTACAAATAAAGCGGCAAAGCAGTGAGGTTGCATCTGGTACATTCAGCGGGGAATTAATTTTTTTTTTCAGAAAAGCTAGAGGACGATTGCACCTGCGCTTTTTTCTCTTACAACTAAAATACTTTTAATATTTTTCAGTTCARCGTCACCTGAATGTATTAAAGTACATGAAAGCTGCGCTGGCTACCGTTTCACAAAGCAACACGTCACTGTTGAACCTTTTTAGGTTAATGATTCACAAAAGGCACCATTATCCCCGGACTTCTTATTCCAGTAGCAGAGGAGCTCGACTGGCCTTTCAAAGGCTTACTGCCRTATTACTAAGGATGTTTTACTCTCATCTGAAAAAAGATAAATATTAAACGAGGATAAAAGTTCTGCTTTGTAACCATCCGTCTTTTTTATCYCRGGGGACACCCTGGACAGATCACAAGTCCATCACAGAGAYGCATTGAGACAGACAACCATTTACGCTCTCACTCACACCCAGGGACAATTTAGAGCTGCCASTTAACTTAATGTGTTTTTTGTCTGTGGAGGAAAACTGTAGGATSTGGAGAACACCCACATGAGCACAGGAGGAAATGTAAACTAAACCCAGAAAGGCTGCAACTTTCTATCTGAGAGGCAACAACTCTGTGCCACCTTTGCTTTGTAACTAATACACAGAGTTTTATGTAGTTTATATCAGGGTATTCAATTGGTGGCCCGAGGGCCACATCCGGCCTACGGGTGACTTCCGTCTGGCCCACCAGTGAGAAATGAAGCTGTTTTTGAAAATAATTTTATTTAGTTAGTTTTATTTATTATAAAAATGATTTAAAATAAATTGTAAATTTAAAATCTATGATTTACAACAACAAAATAAACAAATTTAAAAGGTTAAAGTTAATAATGCTTGTTCTGTTCCACGTGTTCCACCTACCATTAATGGGCAATGCCCCCCACATCCCCCTGTTCTGAGCAGTTTAGTTGAACAGCCCTTGTTTATCCACGACATGTCAAATATCCAGGTCTAATGATAAAAAAATAATTATTAAACAACTGGTCCAAATCTGCCTGCCTTAATTTCCAAATTGTGCTCCAGCAGAATAAATCATAAAAGTGGAGGTGGCTGCAAAAAAGACCTCAAGAATAGCTCATTAACATAACTTTAGGATTCACGTTTTCTAACRTTTGGGTTCTTCTGCTTTTTGCTTTAAAGAAACAAATACTCGTGTTTGGTTCCGTTTGTTGAGAGTTCAGGCAGCTAATAAGTTCTCTAATCTACAGAATTATCTTCTGTGTTTTATCTTTAAATCTGGCTGGATTGTTTATRGATGTCTGACCACCATGTAATTATATGTGTCCTTCTGGTTTCTGCTCTCACAGTTCCAAACTCTCTTTCACTTTCCGCTTTCCCCAAACAACACCTGTTTAAAGGTTTTCGCCTGACTGTTTAATAAGTTGTGCTATAAATTAAATCATTTAAATCCTGTTAGAACACGTTGATTCAAAGGTAGATTCTGATTATATTATATATTTACTTACTGGGATCACTAGATGGTGAYCTGAAGGACACATTTTTATGTAAA